AAAGAGAGAGAGAGAGAGAGAGAGAGAGAGAGAGAGAGAGAGAGAGAGAGAGAGAGAGAGAGAGAGAGAGAGAGAGAGAGAGAGAGAGAGAATGATAGGTGAATGTTCCTCAACTCGAATAGTTCTCAAATGAATATGATTCGTGTTACTCGATTAGAACATTACCGGGAAAGTTATATCGGGAAGTATTCCGAGAGCAAATACGTAGATTGAACGGAAAGAAATGATTATTCGCTTCGATACCGGGACATCGATAGTTCTGGCGGGATTTCGTTCAACCTTCCGTACGTCTCATCGCGGCATTAATTAAATTTAATTTATCCAGTTTAAGAAAATAAATTTTTCCTTATTCTTTAGAAGATCTCTAGAAAAAGGTAAAAGTCATGAGATATATTAAGCTTTATTAATAGTTAAAATTACTCGAAAATGAGAATTAAATGCGATAAACTCCAATGTATATAGCAAGGGTTAACGAGTATGGATTTGAGTGCAGATTTGTCAAATCTAATTTCAGGTGTGTTTATCCACTTAATTATATACCCATCTACTTGATCCTAACCGTAACTGGCAACAGGGATGGCACATCGTGCTGTAAAGAGCAAGTTGATGACTTTTCTCTTTGGAATATTATTCTAGGTCAACAAACGCGTAATGTAACGCCACGCACACAGAATTAGCAATGCAAATGTTGCGTTCCCATTTTACGGATGGGCACCCCGTATAAGCCGCATATGGCAATGTCGAGTTGCTCTTGGCGCACGTGCGAACGTAGTTAATGTCCCGATTTCGAGTTGGACTAAAGCACTGACACAATGTGTCATCGTAAACACCGCTCGCAAACTTTTGAGATGTTACGGGGACGTTGCTAGACGCCGAGCGAGAACGATTACAACTTCGATCAACGCCGGAAACGTCGGAAATCGCAACGTTCGCTCGCGACGCGTTACCTCGCCTTTGTTAATACGCTCGTTAAGGATTGCAATGTGGAACCAAATTTACGTGCATCTGGAAAATAATTAGTCTAATTAAACAGAAAATTAAATTATCACAAGTTTTAAAATCTGTGTGGGTGGATTGGTGAACTGCGAGATCTCGAAAATTGAAAGGAAAGAGGTATCGCCAAGGAGGTATTGCTTTCTCCTCTTCTCCGCATCCTCTTCAGAACTCCTTTGACAGAAGCCTTAGTAGTTTAATCTTGAGTTTACAATGCGAAGTAACTAGGAAACCTTGATCGTATTTATTAATGTAACAACTATCTTGCGAGTTTGGGATTGAAACTCTAATCCTTTGAGTAAGATTTAGAATCCTCATTCTTATCCTTGGGTTAAACCTTTAATTGGCGATCTGCAAACGAACAATCGTTTCTTTTCGCAGTATGGCTAATATGTTTAATTTAAGTGTCTTGAATGTACACCTCAAGTTTGTATTACATAAACAGTGCGTTAATGTCGAGGAAGGAAAGCTGCGTACAAGACTCGGGGACATTGCAAACAGCTTTGCTAAGTTGGGAAAAGGACCGGGGCAAATGTCTCAGTTAGCTTCGTTAACTCCAAACATTTGCCCCGCGATAAGTTCATATACGCAGCCAACTCTCCGCAAGTCAAACCGCCGACTTTCGCAGTTTCTCGCGTTAACCCGCGAAGAGCACAGCGCGGTGTGCCGTGCGATATTTCTCGTCTTCGTCATTTGATATCTCTCATGGAGAAACATTGTGCTTTCGCGCATTATAAATTTGCCGGGGTACTGCTTGAAAAAATGGATCTTTTCTCAAGTTCTCACTGCAGGCGACACTGCAGAGCCGTTTTCTCTCCGCTAATGTCGCTCTATTTTTTAACGATTTATTATAACGATTCGATTTTTCATCCATTAATCCCAACCATTCGATTCCGAGACTATCGAGTCTTTGGCGAAAACGACCTTTCTTCATACTTCGTAACCATTGAAAGCTTCAATATGGCCCAGCTCTTGAGCGAACCTTAAACCAATCATTTGGGCAGCGCGTTTGTACGCGCCAAGGACGAACGTGATAAGGGCACCGTCGCGCAAGAAGCGGATTACGGTTCTCGCCTGTAATTTATTACGATTCGACTCGTTCACGGTCGTTTCGGCACCTACCATCAGGTTGCCGACGTTTTCCGTCGAGACAGCCGGGGTTCGGATAGTTTTTTCGCGAAGGTTGACAGTCTTTTTCCTCGCTCTTGAGACCAGGAATCAGCATCGTCGAGGAAACGCGCGAATTTTCGTAATTGGTCGGCGCGCAGGCAACGTTATTAGGTCCGTAACTGGCGCTACGCTGCAATTGCTCTTCCTCTAATAAGAGCCGCGCGCTTGGTCGTAAAGCGAGGAGTTCGCAAGAGCGGCGAGTTATTCGACTGATGCGTTGAGCGTTCGCGGAGCGTTCTCAACTTGACTCGACGAGATGTAGCAGCTACGATTTCGTACGCGCAATACCACCCCTCGCTAGAGGGTTGATGAAAGGAGGGGCAGCACAGTGTAATAATGATACTCCCGCGTTTCGCGACGTTACTTGTGGCGCTTTTGTTTGAGAGAAAGAGCACGAGAATATCTTTGATTGCGTCAATTTCCTCTCAAGGAAGAAGTTTGCGTCGTAATTATCATATTTCGTTTTCTTCCTCATATTACGCGAGCGTACAAAGTTACATAGTATATAAGGGATCATATTATGGATTTAGATTTTTTAATTTAAATTTTTGAACTCGCCAGGATCTCGCGGAAGCTCCGTTGCGATTAAATAATAAATACTATGACGAAAATATAATCAATATGGCGTTCGGCAATTTATCGGCGATGTGTAATCAAGCGTTCTCGTCTTCCCCCCTTTCTCTCGGAAATGGCCGAAACTCACGTTATCGATCTGCTAAATAATTGCATCGTTAACGAATAGTCAGTCCAGCATTCTTTCTCACGATTAGCAAAACCTTACGAAATAATTTGCTCATAAAAGGACACATTTCCTCCATTTCCGAATGGAGGTGAAGTTTTTAAAGCATTTAAAAATTGGGCGATCTACGAAGGGTGAAGTCAATCATTGAGTTTGGCTTACGACAAGCTCAAATTACGAGTAATTATACGAGTAATTATACGAGTAATTTTATGGAACCCCGAGCCGTTTTTGATGCTTAAGTTTGCAGAGGAAACGCGATACGGAAGTTCCTTGCTCTTTAATGCATTAAACGTAATATTGCCCGAAACTTGAGGAAATCCCGCGTGCATGGCGATATTGGTATTTATCGAATAACGCAATATCGAGACTTGTTATGTAGGTAATGTCGATATATTCTCCGACGTATACTGGGGGAGCTACGCGGTAGCTGAAACTTCCCGAAATATCAAATCTTCGTATGCCGCGAGAACCTCAGTACGCTAACTCGAAGATTGCGTAGCTTGATTAAATATTAAGCCTCGACACAGCGTATGTAAGAGAGAACGACGTTAAAATTCGCGCGCTTTGATATGCGTCACGTAAATTGTTACCTCTATGCGACTTATCGCAAACGAACTTTGCGACACTGCCGCGACGGTATACTAGTCGGCGCTATTTAATTCGCGCGTTTGTCGCGTTTCTCTCTGCATAAAAATCTATGAACAATTTGTGCGCGATGCCCGAGTAATGAATTTATTAGAGGACGCGCGCAAACTGCACACACGCGCGCGACAATTTTTTTCAGTTTAATTACGCGTTAATCAATTTCGCAATCTGAGTCAAAAATCCGGCAAGATAATAGCTTGCATACCTCCATCCGCCTTTGAACAGGTTTAACTCTTCAAACAGGCGTCATGCATATTCTATCAACGACCTAACCAAAAACCGCAGCCCAGCCTTGCGGTAATGTTAACCCAGCAGCTCTCTCCTCGGATCCATATAGCCCCGACAGGCAAGGTATGCCCGGGATCGAGGATTTTGAAAAACGATGAAGCAACCATAACCGCAACAGCAATCTCCGCTCCACCTTTGACGCGACGAGAATATTGCGGACTTGTTTTTTCGCATACCCACGTTCCTATCTAATATTCTCGCTCTATTTTAAGAGTCGTGATTAAAAAGTTATGAATCCTCGAAGGGTCAAAAGTTTTTTCGGTCTTTTATACTCTTTGTATTCCGATATTCTCGATAAATTCCTGTGTCGCTGGTGGATACTCGGTAAACGTGTGCGGATTGTACGATTTCGAGTTTCAACGTTAAAATCATTCTCGCGCGCAGTTATATCGTTCGTTTCTTTTTTGTCTCTCGAAAAAACAGGACAGTGTTTTTGCGATATGAGAGCCAACGAGTTCACTTAATCTACTCGACAAGCTAATTTACCGAGCTTGATTTGTCTGTCAATCGAAGATCACCCCCGATTACGAAATAGTCGATAAGGTCGCGCGATCCGTTTACAGCGGCTTGCGCGTTCATCGCGTCGAGATGGCGCCGCGCGAGAGAATTAAATGCAATAATTCGTCTCAAGAATTTGTAAGCAGGTTGCTGTAAGAAGACCCGGCCGGTTATGCGTTTTGGCCGTTTATTTGCGACGACGTGGGTGATGCTCGCACAAAGCCTTCGTCGGTAATACCGTCGGATTTTCTAACATAATTAGCTAGTCGCTTAGACAGCTACGGAGGATAGGAGACGGTCGCCAAAATGCGGGAATTATTCTGCCACTTACCTCCTTGTCGCCCAGCTGATGAACTCTGCAGTGAAGAAAGGCGGTCTGACCGACTGCAGTGGTGACGTTCCGCGGCACGTTCGTTTCGAAAGCTGGCGCGTTGCTGACGTTGCGACTCCCTTGGACGAGACTTCCGCTCAGGACCCTCTGATCGCGAGTGTACGTACCTGTGCGAAACACATACACAAAAATGTCAACGTCAGAAATTAGTGTGTCCGCCACGGTCGCGCGGCTAAGTCGCGAAACTCATTAAGCTGTCGCAGTAGTGGTGGCGGCAGCAACGGCGGTAGTAGTAGTAGTAGTAATAGTATTAGCAGCCGAGCTTTAAAGCCTCTCGCCGACACGAAGTTGCAATGAAACGGAAATAATCGCGTAACTCGCCTTTTGTCGTATACTCGCGTTTCTACGGCTTCGAGTCACTCGGACCGCTGAAGTGACTGAGATTATTTCTGCTTTCTGCCACGACAGGAAGCCATTTGCCGCGCGGAGGAGGAAAATGCGGCGCTTGGGTAAGTCGTCGTCGTCGTCATGCGCGACCGTTTATAAAATTTAAGCTCCGTATTCATACCGCTCATTTGGCACTGAATGTGCCGGTCCAGTAGCCGCTCTACACTCATGCGGAGCATCTGTGTGTATAATGACGTTTTATTTCGCTAAATTATAGCGCTTAATGACTCAAGTTTTTAGCTGTCTCTGCACAACCGAATGCGTTCCGCCCGCGACCGTATTGCGGCGCTTCATCTTTTATGTTACGCGTCACCGCTCGTATTTCACGACGTTTAACGTGCGCAGCGCAAGTTGCGTAGCTGCTTTTGTATAAATTCACATCGGCATTATTAAATTTACGAGCCGCGTTGTATCACGCAGAAAGTAGTTCGCAACTGTTTCTTTCGCACAGACGCGCAATCCCTCGTAAATCGCACGTAGTCTTTTATTATTCAGGAACGCGAACTAAAAACGCGCGCAATTTTTTTCGGCAGAAATTCGTGCCTGACGAATCCGACGGTTCGCGTTGCCAGCGTTCGCTCGAACTGTGACCGGCCGAGTGCTATTGAATTTTTCGCGCGAGAAATCTCGCGACTTATCTTTATTATTTTTCCTCCCGCGGAATTCGCCTTTGTCGGGGTGGCTTTCGCGCAGTGTCGAGTTTATTGTTAGAACCGTGTTAGAATCGACAATGAGTCGAGTGGGTGTCGTGACGTCCACGCTTACTATTGTAAGCGTTATCGGGGCCAATAGCAGATTCCGACGAACGCCGTCAGCGTCTACTTAGTTATTGATGCTTGGTGGCCGAATTAGATAAGCTTGCAAGTTCGTATCCGGTCCGCGGGTAAGATACAGATCACAGATTAATCTGCAGTTTGCGGATACGGGGATGGTCGGAGCGGAGCTTTGCATGACCTCGCTCTTTATCCGCTGTTTTGCGTACGGATCAGTTTCGAGAGTATAGGTTTTGCGAACGAAACGCTACGCCGTGTTTGCGCACCCGCGACGACGGTGTCAGTGTTGCTGGTTTTGGGGTTTCGCAGGTATTAGCGTTAGACCGCTCGCTAATTACCAACGATATTTATACTGGCTGTAACGACGACGTTGGATGTTGCGCGAAGAATTTCCTTTGAAGAGATGACTTGTCCCTGTCGCTACTCTTCTGAAATTCCATACGGCATAATTACGCGATGGAATGGTGCGCTAACGTTGTAATGAAAATTTTCGTTGAATTTTTAAAACAAAGAGATCCTTTAATATGCTGCCATATATGTAGGTTAAATTTACTTTATTCACGTAGAAATAATCTAACCATGCAACCATGTAATATTCTTTTTATTTTTTTATTTAAATTGTTGAAAGCTGCGCTTTTTACAAGCCTTTTATGGATTAAATAAATTCATAAAATTTAATACTTTCATCTCTCGTCTTTCTCTCTCTTCCTCTTATACGCACTGCTGCACACGTCCGTATAAATGTAAGAAGACGAAGACTTCTAAGTCAAAAGTATTTCTGAGCAGTATTAAAAGTTACTCGATACTTTTTTACAGACTTTTGATTGCATAAATCGATACGCGTAAAAGCATTATATTCAAAAATCGAATAACATGACGTTTCTTTTTACGGTATTATGTGAACTTTGTTAGTTAACCAGCCCACCGCGGCTGAACATTCGAGTGGGATGCGAGTTTTGCATACAAAGATTATCGTTGAAACAAGCAGTCTTCGACTGTTGAATTAACATAAATTCTTGTATTATCTTCCACATGAGTGACCCCTAAAACATAGTTTCACAAGTCTCGACCATAGAATACCTCAGGAAATTTCACCATAGATTCCTTAGTAAAACGCTATACAAGCTAATTTTCTACTAGAGAGGCGTAGGTAAATGAAAAGTTTTGCTTTATAAATAAGGCAACAGCTCGTTAGTATTAAGCGCCTCGTTCTTAACGCTAAAAGTTCAGGATGACTTTACGTCTCAAAGAAACATCTCCGCGAAAAACGTCGGTCTTACAGACTCTTAAGGAACGTCGAACGGGTAAACGCGCGAACAGAAAGTACGTTAATCTTATTATGAAAATTTACGTAAAAGGATGAAAGAGAGAGAAAGAGAGAGGAAAGGTAGAAGATTTGCATCGGGCGCTCACTGGCTGCATTCGTGTTATACTGCAGCTGTAGCTTATTTTTGAGAGAGTAGCTGCCTATGGGCGTGTACGAATGCTCGAGCTTTTAGCCCCTTTGGATATTACTACTCTTTACCTAAGTGGTCCCAGGGAACATTCGAGTTTCAAGCATCCCTGCGTGGCAACGGAGGCAAGGTTCTTGCCGCTTATAACGGTAAAAGCAGTTTAAGAAGATTCAAGTCCGGGACGATTGTAACTTAGATTTATGACTTCCATCGACTCCCGACAATTAATTGCTGTGTTTCGCGATTACTCGCTATCTGTGTCTCGGATATACATTACGCCTACGATTCTTTTGCTACCTTCAGCGTGCGAATTAGCTAAAAACGATATCATTAATATGGGGACGTTTATTATCACCAGTTTAGTCAGGAGGCGGAGAAGGAGAAATACGTAACATTTTCAGAGTTCTCTGTCATCATTTTGTTCTACAAATCCTACTAAGTTTCATAAACTTCATTTTTTGCGAAATGGGACGCCAAACGTTTTTAAAACATACTCCTTTGACTTTTATAAACAATTACATTTTATCTTTCCATTCTCGATCGCAATTATCATTTAAACTTGAGCGATATATTCGCGCGCATTTCTGCTTTCTGAAACGAGAAAAAAGAGATAAGAGCGGAAGCGTCGATGCCGATGACACGCTATTATTTCCCTCCCCGCTACGCTATCAACGACAAATGAATCAATTTGCCGCCTTGATGTATCCATTTAATAACAGATTGAGCCCAGGCGTGTGTTAAGGCAATCGATACTGGTCGGTCCGGCGAAGACGCGCGTGCAAACGTCAGCGCGATTCCTCTTTAGATGCGCCAGCGCGTAATTCGTTTCGAGTTAGCGGATTGTATTTCATCGAAAACCGATTGATCGCCGTTTACGCTCTCGCGATAACAAAAGCGTCATATACCCTCGGACTCGCGTTATCGGAGCGGCTCGTATCGAAAACGGCCCCGAAATGGCGCGCGTGCACGATTTAGTCGCGCGAAGGCAGAGACCACGCAAAAGAGAGATGCAAAAAGTCACTGGTAACACGAACGGTTCCGGAAGCGGATCGACGGGAAATGAGGACCTTTCCATAACGGGGGGAAAAGCGCCGTTCAGCCGCGAGTATCGCGAGTCGCGCAAGACGCTAAATTACTATCGGAAGCCGAACAAGAACGGAATATGGAAAAAGGGTAGTGCAACGATATTAAACGACCGATAATGGTCAATATGCGAAATATCGATGTCACGTTACCGAGGCTTGACCCTTAAATGCATTTTATCATCGTATTCGATACGCCATGCACTTCTGCGTCATAAAGCTTCTCTCGTTCCGGTACGTGAACTGTTTTCCATTACAGATATGTAGCGGAATCGGTTCCGGATTCCGGTGCCGGAAGCACGTCGTCGGGGAGAATCGCTTATAAATCATAAAGTGACTCGTCGATTTTCGCGAAACAATTTTTTTATGTTCTTTTTTTTCACAAATCCCGCGATCGCGTCGCTCGTACCTTGATTAACCCGTCGCGAGCGCGCGCCTGACTCGTCGAGTCTGACCGTTCTGCACCGAAATAATTTGTCATCGTCGCGACGAGAACGCTTCCATATTCCGCGACCGAGTTTTACAATGGTGGCACGGTGATTCGTGCTGATCAATAACTGGGGAATAATAAATAACGGAGCGGACTTGTCGATAAAACAGCGGGTTCAAAAATCGCCGTGGCGCGCCACCGATACGGTACGCGCGTCGTGTAGTCGCGGGGTTGCGCGCGAGCGCGTCTCGTCCGCAAAGTTATGACCCGCGGCCCGTGAAGCGGATACACGCCGCTGTGCCGCGCAGGTGTGTGGGTGCACCTGACGTGCCGTGCGGTCGCAACGTTGTAACGTTCGTTCGCTACGCGAGGACATGGCGCCGAAACAAAGAAGCGAGTTTTTTGTCTCGTTTAGATCGTATGTCGCCATTGGCGAGGAAAAATGGAGGGGATTAGGAAAAGCCGAGAGAAGTTCGCACAACGGCTCTGTGTACAGTTTACCGAGTCGAAATCATATGTAGGAGTGATTACAGTTAGTGTGTATGCCCCGTAAATGGCGAGACACGTTTACAGAGCGACGCGCCCGAGTGATTACAAGTGAGCTAACTTGGTTTCTAATTATCCTTACCATTACATACGCAAAATTAGCGTTATGTTTCGTGTGGGATTTTCATGACTCAGTTCCCATTATGGTACTTTACAGTTGTACTCTGTAGTTGATATGTTTTCTGTTGGTATCCGCTAACGTAAACCGCAGTGCTGATCGGCAATAAATTATATCGCATATTGAAGGTATTAATTACCGACCGATATTGTTGCACATATACCGCGGTCGTGCGATAAAGGATGCGTTGGAATTACAAGCAACCCACACCGTGCGCCGCACAGTTGTAGGTTCTTTCGCGGTGCTAGATTGCGAGGCGCGCGCCAGATAGAGCGCGCAAATATGTAGTTGTTGTTCTCGAAAAGAGTAATTTAGAC